GGATGGATGGATGGACTGATGGATGGACGGACGGATGGATGGACGGACGGATGGATGGATGGATGGATGGATGGATGGATGGACTGATGGATGGATGGACTGATGGATGGATGGATGGACGGATGGATGGACAGATGGATGGATAGAAGGATAGATAGAAGGATATTGGTGGATAAATGCTAGTGGATAGATTGTAGATGGGTGAGTGGATGGATGGATGGATGGATGGACTGATGGATGGATGGATGGATGGACAGATGGATGGATGGATGGACAGATAAATGATGGGTGCTGTTGGGTAAATGTTAGTAGACGTGCAAGCAATGCCCACTTCTTTGGGAGGCTGAGCTCTGTATGTAACATGCTCCCAAGAAGGGAAAGAAGCAGCACTGGAGAGCTGTAATCCTGCAGTTCACAAGGGTAAGGGTGTTTGCCCTCAACGTCTGTGGAGGGGGCCACATAATTCTACCCACTGCCTTGGCCTCATTTTCAAACTGTGGTCTGTGAGTCACATAAATCAAACTCCTTATAAAATACAGGCCAATATTCAAGGAAAAAATGCTATTGGATGGATTGTTAGGTGGGTGGATAAATAGAAGGACAGATTAGTGAAGGTATGTTAGATGGAAAGATGGATGGATGGGCGGCTAGAGATTGGCTGGAGACTAAATGTATGGATGAATGTTGGGTACAGGGATGGCAGGGTGCTGAGTGGATTTTGGGTAAGCAGATTGAAGGATGAATGCTGGGTGGAGGGAAGTTGGAAGGATACACGGAAGATGGATGGATGGGTGGTGGCTGTTTGAACGGATGCTGAAAGGACAGGCGACTGGAGATATAAATAGATGCATATCAAGTGGACAGACCCTGGGTACTGAATGGACAGATAACTGAATGCTGGGTGGATAGTGGCAGATGGATGGGAAGACAAGCAGATAAACGGCAGAACAGAAGTTGGTGCAAATGGAACATGTGGATGAAGGTTGGATGGATGTTAGGCACATGCGTGGAAGAATGCTGGATAAATCTGGGTAGACAGAGAGAGAGATGCTGGATAAATGGGTGGATAGACGGATGTTGGATAGGTATGTGGGAAGATGGATGAATGAGTGGATAGATGGAAGTTTGGTGGACTGGAATACATGAATGAATATTGGGTGGGTATTAGGATGGAAGGATGCTGCTTAGATATGGGGTAGATAGGCAGAAGGAGAGATGTTGATGGATGGATGTTGGATAGTTGGAAGTTGAGTGAATGGATAGAGCTCAGCTGGATGGATTACAAATATTGGATAGATATTGAATGACTGCATAGTTCACTGTTGGGAAGATGCTAGAGGGATAATGAAGGGATGGATGTTAGATAAGTGTTGGATGTACAGTTGGATAGACATATGGATAGAAAGTTGGCTGGACCACTGGATGCTGGATGGGTAGGTTAGTGTATAGAAGAATGTAGAAGGATCAGTAAACAGCAGGTATCACAGGCCCAGCTGCTCATCCCCTTCCCTCCCAAGAGGCACTTACAGTAAAGATATCACCATGCTTCTCCTTCATCCTAGTGAGGAAGCTGGCAGCATCTTTTCCAAACTCCAAGGCATAGCCCAACCAGGGGATACAGCCCAGGTCCAGGGGAGGCTCGCCAGGTCGCCTGCAGAAGCCACAGCACTTATCACACTTGATGAAGCAGGGAAGAGGATAAAGAGTGTAGGGCACAGGGTGTGATTTTAAATGGAGAGGGCAGGGCTGGCTTCCCTGAGGAGACATTTGAGCAAAGACCTGAAGGTAGTGAGGGAGGGAGCCACATGGAAATCTGGAAGAAGAGGTTTCTGGGCAGAGGGAACACAAGTGCAAAGGCCCTGAGGTTGGAACATGCCTGGTGTGTTCAAAGAACTGTAGGGAGCCCAGTGTGGCTGGACTGGGGGAGCAAGAAGCAGTGGAAGTTGAGACCAGAGCAGTAATGGGGCCCAGACCAGGGAGGGCCTTGTGGGCAGCTGTGAGGACGTGAGCCTTTTCTCTGAGTGAGCTGGGAGCCATGGGAGAGTTTGGAGCAGAGTAGGGACGTGATTTGGCTTAGGTGTTTACAGGATCCTTTTGGCTGCTGAGTAGAGAGTGGACGGTAGGGGGCTGAGAGCAGAAGTTGGGGGACCAGTCGATGTTGGTACATATCACAGGGTCTAATCGAGGTGGTCATCTCTCTGTGGGTAAGGGAGCCTTCCGGAATCCAGCAGTATAAGATAGAGCTCTCTGTCTGAGCCGACCTGGACCAGGGTTTTGGGCATGTCACACGCCCTGTCGTGCCCACAGAGAAGGGATGAGACTGGAGAGCGCGGTTGACTGGCAGAAGGAAGTAGACGGACTGGCCTCACTGCTGCCCCCTGCCTGCCCCTGGCCAGCTCAGAATCTGAGGTGCTTCAGGGGGCCAGAGGCCAGGGCCATGGCCTGTGGGGATGCCCAGGGGTACATGCTAGTTCACCAGGGGGCGTGATGGTCGTGTGTGATATTCAAGGTCAGAATCGTCTGTGAGAGCAGAGGGACTCCTCCGAGGATATAGTAACTGTTTATAGCTCACGGTGGTAGACGTAATTGTAAGATGACCCACAAGGACCCACATCCTTCTATAATCCCCTCCCCCCGAGTGGGGGAGAGATGGTACAGTCACTTTAAGAAAAAATGATTTTCCTTAGTGGGCCTGACCTAATCAGGTGGGGACAGGGCTCTTCCCGGCAAAAGAGACTCAAAGCATGAGAGAGATCTGACATAAGGGAGGTCCTCTGTTGCTGACTTTGAAGATGGAAGGGGCCATGTAGCAAGGAAGGCAGGCGGCCTCCAGGAGGTACGAGTGGACCCTGGCTGACAGCAAGCAAGGAGACAGGGACCTCAGTCCTACAGCTGCAAGGAGCTGTGTTCAGCCAGATTCTTCCCCAGAGGCTCCCAACAGGAAGGCAGTCTGGTTGATACCTTGATTTCAGCCTTGTAAGACTCCGAACAGAGAACCCAGCCCCACTGTGCTGGACTCCTAACCTACCAGACTGTGGGCTAATAAACGGCTGTTGCTGAGTGTGTGGGAATTTGTTACGCGAGAGATAACGAACACACTCAGACTTACATCACACTTACCCTGGGCCCTGCCCTTGGCCAAGCACTTAAGATATGAATGTCTCATCACATCCTCCCTCACCACCCTCTGAGGGAGGGACTGTCAGCTGAGGAGAGCTACACCATGATCACAAAACGGGCCTCACAACATCAAAGAGCTGGTGCTCACAGTGGACCCCTTGGAGGTCCCTAAACCCAGGCGAGGACCACTGTTTGAGTCTTAGAATTATCAGAACCACAGGGATGCAGGAGGCTCCCTGTCTGCTGAATGAGTGAGTGAGTGAGTGAATCACCCCCTCTCTTCTTCTCACTGTGGATTCATTCACTCATTCACCAAGTATTAACTAGGGACCAGGCACCGCTCTGGTGCTGGAGATACAGCAGTGAACAGGACAGACGAGGTGCCTGACTTTGTGGGGCTTACATACTAATAAGGGGAGAAAGACAAAAAAGAAAAAAAGCAGAATCACTTCAGAGAGTGAGAAGTGTGAGGAAGAAAATAAAGGAGACACAACTCGACAACGAAAAGACAAGTAACCCAATTTAAACATGCACGAAGGATTTGAAAGGACAGTTCTCCAAAGAAGAAAGACAAGTGGCAGGAGGAACATGAAAAGATGCTCAACATCGTTAGCCACTGGGAAAATGCAAATCAAAACCTCAGTGCGGTACCGCTTCACACCTACGAAGATGGCCACAGTTAAGAAAGGGAAAGTAAACGCTGGCAGGGACGCGGGGAAATTGGAATCCTCGTGTACTTCTGGCAAGAATGTAAAACGGTGCGGCTGCTTTGTAAACTAGTCTGGCAGGTCCTTGAAAGGTTAAACAGAGTTACTATACGACCCAGCAATATACTCCCAAAGAACTAAAACATATGTTCACGCATCAACTTGTACACTATTGTTTATAGTCGCATTATCCATAATAGACAAACAGTGGAACCAACCCAAGTGTGCGCTGACTGATGAATGGAGAGACAAATGTGGTATATCCACGCCAGGGAACATTATTCAGCCATAAAAAGGAATGCAGTACTGATTCATGCCACAGTGTGGAAGAACCTCAGAACCGTGATGCTAAGCGCAAGAAGCCAGAGACAAAAACCACACATTGTATGATTGTATTTCTGTGGAATGTCCAGAAAAGACAAGTCCACAGAGACAGACAGTAGATTGGTGGTTGCCAGGGGCTGGGGGGAGGAGGGATGGAGAGTGACTGCTAATGGGTACGGGGTTTCTTTTGGGGGCGATGAAAATATTCTGCTGATATATTCTGAATATAGTGGTGATGGTTGCACAACCCTGTGACTATACTAAAAACCACTGAATTGTATAGTCTAAAAGGGTGAATTTTCTAGCATGTGAATTATATTTCAGTACAGAAAAAAGAAAGAAGGGTGATATGAGATAGTGAGGGGGCTGGTTTAGAGAAGGTGCTTGGGGAGGACCCCCCCCCAGAGGTGCCATGTGAGCAAAGACCAAAGGATAAGCAGGGAGTACAGTGGAAGAGTGTTACAGACAGAGGGAACAGCAAGTGCAAAGGCCCCGGGGTGGGAGTGCATTTGATGAGGTTTTCAAGACAGCAGGAGCCGGTGTGGCCAGAGTGGAGAATGTGGGGGTGAGGGGTAGGAGATGACGTGCAGATGACCTGTGGACCATGAGGGCCTGAGGGCCAAGGAGAGTCTGGCTGTTACACCCGGTCCCATGAGGATCCCCTGCAGGGTGAGAAGCCGGAGTCGGGAAGTGATGTGATTATGCTTGTAAAAGGTTGCAACAGAGACAGGCAGGAGGGAGACATGTCAGGAGACTTCCATTACCTTCCAGGAGAGCAATAATGGTGGACGCCGAGGCCACGGTCCCCAGTGGGCCGGGCCCAGCATGCAACGCCTCCACCTCCACGTGGTGGACAGAAGATTGGCCAGATTTGAGGGCTGGAGTTTGGGAAAGATGGGAGCAGAACCAGGGATGAGGTCTGAGGGCATCAGGAAGTGCCTCCCCAACCAACCCTGCTCCCCGCCCCCCACCCCACGTCTGAGCCCATCCTTGAGCAGACTTGCAAAGTTGCAGCTCTGGGGTTCTAAGGGGGTGCCAGGGAGGGGCCAAGGCCCTTCCTTTCCCCCGCTCTTTGTGAGCCACTGGGTCAGGGCAGCTTCTCCTGCAGGCTCCATTTACAGGAAATGTGTCTAGAGACAGAGATTGGATTGGTGGTTACCAGAGGGGAATGGGGGAGAGAGGAGGGCGAAAGGGGTGATGAGGCACATGTGTGTGGTGATGGATGGTAATTAGTCTTTGGGTGGTGAATATGTGGTGAACAGAAATCAAAATATAATGATGTACACCTGAAATTTGTATACTGTTATAAAGCAACGTTACTTCAATAGAAAAATAAAGGGAACGTGTCACCCTGGCAGAGCACGGGGTGGAGGAAACTGTTGGCCCGGTGCGCCTAGCCCTCGCCCAGCCCTCTCCCAGCCCAGGTCGGAGCCCAGAGAGCGGGGACACAGGAGCAGGGGCTTCTGCGCAAGAGGCAGGAGGGCGAGGTGGTGGCGAGCCCACATCAGCACGCTTCCCGGCTTCAGATCCCAGCCATGCTTCTTGCTGGCTGGGTGACGCTGCTTCTCCGTGCCTCAGTTTCCTCATCTGTAAAAGGGGAGTGACAACACTACTGATCCCATCAGGCTGATGAAGATGAACGGAGGTCTGGCCAGTGCCTGGCACCTAGTAGGTGGGGTGGGTCTGAGAAGCAGGACCAGTAAGACTCCCGGGTGCCATTTACTGAGCAACAACCTACGTCTGGCACTGTGCATTTTCCAAATGCTTCCTTGCTTGGCCATAATGCTAATACTTAGCGAGCCCTGACTGCGTAACCCCATGAGGCAGGAACAGTTACTATCAAGCCCATTTTACAGCAGACGAAACTGCGTCCCAGAGGGGCCGAATCACTTGCCCAAGGGCCCACCGTGGAGGAGGTGGGTTTCTGACCCAGGCAGGTCTGACCACAGAGCCCACGCTCTTGATGCTCCCCTGGCCCCAAGTCACCCCAGGTGGACATCTGCATCCCCACTTTGCAGATGAGGAAACTGAGACACAGAGAGGCTGCAGTGACTGCACAGATGCGGGGCCTGAGATTTTCCCCTAAGACGTCTTTGAGGGTGTGGGTGGGGCCGGGGCTTCCTTTCGCTGCCCTTTGTCCCTGCTGCTGCCCGAGCCCCCCAGTGAGCAGGTGTTATTTCTGGCAGCCTTTATCTTTCCCCAGAGAAGTCCCCAAGGAGGCGCAGACAAAGGCAGGAAGCTGGGAGCCCAGGCCTCTGACCCGAGGCTCCTCCAGCCCCGGGCCCTGAATCCAACGCGGGCCTGGCTCACATTCCAGGGTGACTCAGCTGCGGCGGCGGGGGCAAAGGGAGCTCTATTTTGGGGTCTGCGGTCTCCGGCCCCTCCCACTGCACTCTCACTGGTTTGAGGCACTGCCAGGCCCTGGGGGGCAGGGGTGGAGGGCTTGACGCTCTCATCTGCCCACACAGCTGACTGTCGCCTGCCCTTCCTGGTTCAGATATCAAGGCACCTTCTCTGATTCTCCCCTGGAGCTTTGATTCCCATCCTGTGGGTTCCTCCAAAAGCTGCCCGTTCCTCGCTCACAGACACCGCCAAGCCCGCCACCTGTCCTGTCTCTGTCTCCCACTCGACGCTCTGCAAATCAGGGGAGAGTCGAGGGTGGATATCCTGCACCTTTGTGGCCCTTGAAATATCACGCCTTCACTGGACGGCAGTGCCACAAGGGCGGGCACTTCTTCTTGACCCCAGCACTTAGAACAGGGCCTGGCACATGGTAGGTGCTTCATAAATACCTGTCAGATAAATGAATCACGTACACAGTTGGTGCTCAATGAGCAGCACCTGCCTCCCAGAGCTGCTAAGAGGGTTAAGGCAGCTAACACAGATTAAGAGCCTGACGCACCGTCCACGTCCTGGGTGCCCAGAGCAGAGGCTGCATCATTTAGCTGTTCAGTGTTGGTGGACTGCCTGACCTCTCTGTCCAGTAGTTTCAACTCAATTCAGGGCCTCGGGCTCTGGGAGGATTTAATGGGTTTAATGCTCAACCCATTCTCTCCCCAGGGCTCACCCACAGGCTGTGTGCCATCAACCACGGGTCTCCCTGACCCTCTTCCACTCCTCGCCTTTGCCTCCCACTGTGTAGAAAAAGCAGGTGGCCACCTTGCTCTAGTCTTGTTTTCCTGTTTTTGTAACAGACACAGATTCAGAGAATTGTTTCTCAACATAAGAAAAAACAGTAGAGCAAGTATAGCAATAAATAGAATAGCTGTATGGCGGAGAGGCAACAGGGAGTGGTGAGGACTGTGGCAAGGTTTAGAGAGGGCTTTACTGCTGAGTCCCAGGCAAGTGTTGCTAGATCTTCCAATTTTTCATGAGAAGCTGGAAATCTGGAGTTTTGTGTGTGGAATCCCCCAATTTTCTCCCCTTGTACTGTGTGGTACACACCAGATCCATCTGGGGCTAAATCCAGCCATGGACCATCATTTGGTGACCTCTGGTTAGTGCATGTTGCAATGAGACAGATTTATTTGTGCCTAGAAATTTCGTACCCTGCAAGGGACCAGATCAGCCCTTGAGCCACCAGGAACCCTTACCTGATGCCACTGTGATCTCTGGTCCCCCAGAAAAGGGGCTTCCTGCCCAGAAAACCTCTCCCAATGCTCCCAGCAGCAGCCACACAAGCCCAGAGAGGAAGAGAGATGCACTCAGCCTGGTGAAGCGGCTGGGGCATGAGAGACCAGCCGCATGAACCATCTCAGAGTACAGATGGAGAAACTGAGGCTGGCAAAGCAAGAAGGTTTCTAATAGCCACATGGCAGATCATCAGCCTCAATGGGCACAGAAGTCAGACCCCTAATTCCAGCCCCAGGCCTCCCAACTCCCAGCTCGCACCTCTCCCAGGAGAAAACAATCACAGTTATCAAGCTGGGCTTAAAAATTTTTGCCATAATTATAGAAATTTGAATTTGGACTGGGAACTAGATGATATTAAGAATAATTTTTCATATTCTCAAGCAGGATAATAGAATTGCAATTGTGATGGTTTTTTGACATGCGTGCTGAAATATTTAGTGGTGAGATACTATACCTATAATTTTTTAAAAAATGTTAACAACTGTCAAATCAAGATGATGGGTAACTGGGGGTTCTTATACTATTCTTTTTATTTTTCTATATAGTTGAAATTTTTCATAATTAAAAAATTTTTAATTAAAAGAAACGAAAAACAAGCCAGAGGTAAAGACAGAGCTGCTGACTGACTGAAGTAGTGCTTTTTTTTTTTTTTACTGGGAAAAGCATGGATTTTGGAACCGGCTAGACGAGGAATATAATTTCTGTGTGGCTTTAAGCAGGTCACGCAGCCTTTCTAAGCCTCGGCTGTAAGACCGGGTGATGAATGCACCTCGAGGGCCGCTCAGGAGAACCGCACGAGCCCAAGAGGCGCCGGGCCTTGCTCGTTTTGACCCACACTTTGAATCACCGTCTACACAGTGTCAACATCATCACCTCTTTTTCTAACACTCAATTATTTGCTATTCCTTAAGAATCTTCCGCTTGTAGCCGCATCCCTTACTCTCCTAACGTCATGTGGTTCTAAGACTTTTGAGCATTCAGATCACAAATATAATGTATGGGAAGAGTGAAAATTCATTTTTCTGGGGAATTAAAAATTCTTGCAGCCCTGGTTTTTAATCCAGGCAGACCCTGGGCAAGTTGCTTGGCCTCTCTGAGTCTGTTTTCCTCCTCTGTACAATGAGGGTAACAAGAGTGCCCCCTCGCTGAGATAGGAGGAGAAGATGAGATTGGGGGTCCCCATGGGGTCTCCCCAGGACCCACACAACTGCCCCCGAGCTGCAGTGACCTCCCTACCCACACTTCTCCCCAATACCCACTGTTGACCCTCCTAAGCCACCCACAGGTATAAAAATCAATGACTCACCCTCAAAGATAAATTAGCTCTCGGGACTGACAGCAAAAATTAGCTAAAATAATGTTTAATTGGCATTCCTTCTAACCCAGCAATTCCACCCTCACCTACTATTGTCATCATCATCCCCATTTTAAAGATTGGGAAACTGAGGCAGAGAGCAGTTACTCAACTTGTTCTTATTCCTGGAGGCTGGAAATTTCCATGCTGAGCACCCGGGTACCCTGTAACCCAAAATCCATGTATTTTATGGCTGCCCTCATCTACCCAGAGAAAAGCACAGACCAGGAGGCCCCCCAGAAAGACCACGGCGCATTGTCTGAAAAAGTAAAAACACTGGAAACAACCTAAAACAACCATCCGTAGGGACAGGAATAAAAGGGAAAAAAGAAACCTGCCATTTATTCATACTATGGAATACTACACAGAAGATGAAAAGAATGAATTAGATCTCCGCGGAGCAACATGGATGGATATCAAAACCAAAATCTGGAGTGAAAAAAGCAAATGCGCAGTCTGAAAACATCTCTGCAGCGAGTTTCCAAAAAGCCCGACAACACAGGAAAAATAACTCATTTCTTTATAGGGAAAGTTATTTGCTGCCTTTCTCATTTTCTTTTTCATTTTTTCCTGGCAAATGATGGAATACACGGTTTTAAATTTCACCTGAGAAGGTGTCTAGTGGTTGAAGAAAAATACCGTGAGCTTACTGTTTGGAAATTTAACTAAGATGTTGTTTAAAAATAAAAAGTTTCCAGAAAGTAAATTTATGGAATTTTCAGACACTCTGCTTTAAACATACACACACACACACACACACACACACACACACACACACTGTATTATCTATGTGTGTAACTAATTTTGAAAACAGCTGGAGAGACTGAGGAGACACGACAACTAAAGACAGTGTGGTACCCTGGACTGGATCCTGGCACGGGAAGAGGATGTTAACGGAAAAACTGATGAAATTCACATAAAGTCTAGAGTTTAGTTAATGGTAACAGACCAGTGTTGGTTTTTTTCAGTTTTGACAAATGGCCCATGATAATGTAAAATGTTAACAATAGTGAAAACTGGGTGAGGAGTATTTGGGAACTCTTTGTAAATTTTGCAACTTTGCAAATTTTTCTGTAAATATAAAACCAGTCTAAAATAAAAAGTGTACTTTTACAAAAATCTGGAAGGTTCCTCCCAAACTTATCAACAGGAGAGGTCCAGAATTGTCCGAAGGGTGGTTAAAAGGGCATCAGTCTTATCTATAACAGGACAAATATTTGTTTTAAGGCAAATGTATTCAGCTACTCCTTGTACCATTCAAATTAATTTAAAATATATTTTATAAACTGAAAAAGACGTACTGCTATCTCCCTGATTTGAGGTGTATGAGTTTTACTTTTTCTCTTAAATCAGATTCTCAATGGAGCAGGAAAACCTTTGGGACTAGGAGGCTGAGATGTCTGGGTGGACCCCGCCCAAGCTGCGGGACCTCAGGGAGTGGAGACCCTTTTCCGGCCCGAGTTTCTCCACCGGCAGAGGAAAACACCGAGCCTCCCCAGCCCCCTCCTCCAGGTCGGGGGATCCGGTGGAAGGTGGTTCCAGGGCTGGTAAGACGGCATCCCTCAGGGCCTCTGCCTTCCCCGGCCTCAGCTCTCGCATCTGTGTAATGGGCGTGAGGAGCAAGGCTTCCCCGGGGGCTGCTGAGAGCCAGGCAGGGGCGGGACACGGAGTAGGCGCTGGATCCAGGCAGAGGCGCCCTCCCCGGGGTCACGCCGAGCCCGCACCCGCACCCGCACCCGCTCCCCACCCGCGGGCCCTCGGGCGTCACCTGGAAGCCGCCACACGTCCGGCCCTCGCGCTCTGGGCCCAGCGAGCGTGCGCTGGGTGATCAGAGCCCCGGGGCCAATCGGGGTCCCCGCGCCGCCTCCCCCTTTGAGCCCCCTTTGCGGGGGGACTCGGCCCGGCCCCTCCCCGGGGGGGGGCATCAGCCTGCACCCCCGCCGCCCTGGGGCTCGCCCGGGGCCGTCGGGACGGCGGGAAGGTGACCCTGCCGTCCGGGGACTGCAGCCGGGGGCTCCGGGCGCGCACCGCAGCGGGACGCCCCCGGGTCCGGCGGGGACACTCACCGCGAGCGCCGGCGGGTCAGCAGCAGCAGCAGCAGCAGCGCGGCCAGGAGGCCGAGGAGCGGAGCCCAGGACATGGCAGGGCCGGCGACGGCTGCGGCCGGGCTGCTGCGGGCGCCCTCCCTCCTGCTCCCTCCTCCTCCCTCCTCCTCCCTCCTTCTCCCTCCTCCCTCCTCCTCCTCCCTCCTCCTCCGGGCGCCGCGAGCCCCCCGCGTCCGGAGACCCCTCCCCGCCGCTGGGCCGGGAAAGGGGGTGGAAAATGTGGGCTGGAGGGGAAGGAGGGGGTGTGGCGGGGCGGGAGGGGAGAGGTAGGGGAAAGGGAGGGGATGTGCAGGGAGGCAGGGTTTGGGGGGAGGAGAAGGGGGTGTGGGGAAGGGAAGGGGAGGGAATTTGGGGGCAGGAGGGGTGATGGGGATGACGGGAGTATGAGGATGACGGTGGGAGAAGAGGGACTGTGGTGGGCGGGCGGGAGGGGCCTTTCCACCACATTCCACCCAAGCAGTCTCCACCGCCTCGTCCCATCCCCACCCGGACGCGATAGAGACCTTGAGATTTCCGTTCTGTTCGGCGGGGCTGGGGGGTGCGCTGGGGGATGCCGCACCGTGTGTCGCCTTCAATAACTGTAGTGAAGGCGTCTTAGAGCCACTGGGGATTTGGCCCGGAGTCCCCATGTCCTCAGCTGCTGTAAGGGACAGACCGGTGAGTGTAGAGCCCCCGGACCCGCACCTGGAGCATAGCAGGGCTCAGGTTACCGTGGCCATTGTCAACATCACCTGGTGCTTAGGGTGCGGGCCTCCTGTGCTGGTGGCTCTGCAAGAGAGAACCCCTGGGTGCTGGAGAGAACCTGGGCTCCCAGCTGGAAGGCCTGGGCCTCCCTCCAGGTTTGCCCCACGCTCCACACTCGCTACACACACTCACACACACATTTACACCCTGGAAAACCTGGTGCAGGTAACTTACCTTCTCTGCGGCCAGTTCCTTATCTGGGAACAGACAGGTCAGAGTTGTTGTGAGGAACTGAGAGCTTGTCAAACGGAGTTGCAAAGGACTGAGTGCTTGGCACCTGTAAGTTCTGTAGGACAGCAGGCCGAGCACCGAGCTGGACCCAGCTCTGGTTCTAATCCTGTGTCTATGGCTTGCTGCTGGGTGAGCTCAGGAAGGTTTCATTTTGTCTTCCCAACAGCCCTCTGGAGGAGCAATTATTCCTCCCTGGTCTCTTGGTTCCACCCTCATCCCTCTACAGTCAGCCCATTCTCCCCACGGTAGGATCCTGCTGGAACCTAAGTCAGATCCTGTAACTGCATCCTGCTCAGCACCCTCCATGGCTCCCCCTCACTCGGAGCACAGCCCAAGTCGTTATAGGGCCCTGCAAGGACCAGCATGATCTGCCCCCTCCTACTTTACCTCCCTGACCTCATGATCCCCTACTCTCCCTCACCCACTCTGCTCCAGCCACACTCATCTCCCATCCTTCCCCAAACGTGCCAACTTCTCTCCCACCTCAGGGCCTTTGCACTTGTTATTTCCTCTGCCTAGAATGCTCTTTTCTTGGAGACTTGCACAGCTGGCTCTTTTTGTCACATCCTTCATCCCTCTGTCTCTGCTCAACTGTCATCTCCTCAGAGAAGCCCTCCCTGACCACCTGGTCTAAAGCAGTCACACCCTCACTCTCTATTCCCTTAACAAGTGTGGAGTTTTTTTGACAGTACTTAACATTTCCTGCTATCATATTAGAGATTCATTTATTTGCCTGTTTAATGTTGGCTGTCAAGGCAGCTGGATGACCTCATGTGGCTTCAGCAGATTCAGAACATCAAGAGGCAAAGAGTTTCCTGAACCTCTTGTTTATTTATCCAGCTTATCCGCCTGCAAAGCCAACAGTCCCAAAAAGGCCACAGGACAGGCCTGGAGGGTTTTCTCCAAATTTGGGGAGCCCCACGGGCAGCCTTCTGGCAGTGGGGTTGACAGCCCATGCCCCTGGGCAGTCTGCCCCACCTCCCCACCACGGTGCCTCCCCAGGGGAATGGGGCTGAGGCGAGGAGTCAATGACCTGATCCAGGTGACACGCCGGGCCGGGTGCCGACACGCAGTGAGCACTGGTGACAGTTAACTGCTGTTAGCACTTATTCCAATGTAGCCTCTCACCATGTGTGTGATCTGGGCTTGGTCTCAGTTTTCTCATCTGAAAAATGGGAAGAACAGTTCCTTCCTCACAGGACTGTTGTGAGGATGAAATTAAACGATGAGAGAATGAAATCACCCAGCACAGGGCCTGGCACACAGTAGGTGCTCAATAAATGTCAGCTCTTCTACCCCACACCCCTGGCTTGAGTGCAGACCAGTGTCACCTCAGTCCAAATCCATGCCAAAGAGCGTGTCTGTCTTCCCTCCTCAACCCAGGGGCAAAATCTCCCCTGGGAAGGAGACCTGCTGCTCACACACCAAAGAGACAAGAACGTGGTGCGGCCCCCGGCTTCTCCCTTGCTAACAGAACCTGACTTTGTTCAGGAATCACGCAGGTGTTTAGGAAGACGGCCCCGCCCTCTCTCCAGGGAATGAACCACTGTTGGGCTGAGCCAGCCAGGGAAATCCCTCTTTGCTAGGGATTGGTCCAGGGGTGGCCATGGACCTTCTGGAGGTCTGCTGGGGGCTTCTGGGAAACTTTGTCCTCCCTCTTCCCCTCCTTTTCTTTGCGGGCCATTGTGTGAGGACGGGGTGGTGGGGGCGTTATGAGGGGAGGCCAGGAAAGTCGCAGAGCCCCAGATCAGAGCTGCAGAATCACCAGCCCTGGAACCGCCTACCTCTGGACTTCTTGTTTAATGAGATAATCAAACATCTGTGCTGCTGAAGACACCATGAGTCAGAGTTTCTCTTACTTGCAGCCAAAAACATTCCTAAGAGGACCCTTCAGTTACGGCTGTGGCGAGGACACTATGAGACAGAGCACCTGGAGCACCTCTCCCAGCGCTGGCCGTGGCGAGCTTCCAGAAATGTCCCTTTAGCCTACTATTTTTACTTTTATTACAGCTCAGGCTTTCAACGCTTGTCAGGCTAATAGGGCATCCAGCTCTCTGGCTACAGCATCTCACAGGCACAGAGAGGCTCTGAAAAGTAACAGAGATTCCAAACTCCCCTGACCCATGAGCACTGACGGGGCCCTGCTGAGGGCAGGGCTGGTGTGGCCTCAAGAATGAAGATGAGTGAAGGAGACCCCAAGGGTGACCCTTCCAGCCCCTGGTGAAGGGCTGGAACATCCAAGGGCTTGAGAGCTAAATTCAAATCCCAGCATTGCCACAGGACCCTAGGCACGTTACTTCACCTCTTTGAGCCTCAACTACCTTATCTGTGCAATGGGTGTGTTGCTGGAATTGGTGACGGCAGAGAGTCAGCCAGCAGGGTTCTAAGCCTTCATCTGGGAAGTGGGGCCCACATGTCAGGTGGACTCTCAGGAAATTCCTTCTTCCACCCAGCTCTACCAGGGGCTGCCACCCAGTGACAAGCATCCCGACAGTCCCCTGTAGGAGTCTCGGTGTGTCCAGATGTCCACTGTCTGGTAGAGACAAGACGTCTGGGCAACTCTCCAATCCCGCCCAACCTCCGCTCTCTTATCTGGCTGCTGTAGGGTCATGAGGATGATGTCAAGACCCAGCTCCCGCAGAAAATGGGGGACTCTGCCTGGGAAAGGGCAGCCCTTTCCACCCCCCACCCCTCTCTCTTCCAGGGACCAGGTCTGGTTCATGACTGTATCCTACTGGCCACAAGCAAATTGTGTCAGGAAAGGAAAATATTATGTGTGTTTTCTTCTTGAAAGCTGAAAACCAGCCCCATCAGAGAGGGGCAGTTTTAAACATTTTTGTTATTATAGCTCTAACTTTAGTTGGTAATTATGCCATTTGAAACACTTTTTCATATTAATTCATACAATCCCCATAGGACCCTATAAAATGGGTACTATTATTATCACTAATTTACAGATGATGAAACCAAGGCCCAGAGAGGCTGAGTAACATACCCAAAGTCACACAGCACTTCCTTTGATAGGTTGGAGCATGGTAATCTGAGGCTTTCTTAGGACAGGCTAGTTTCTCCCCTTGTGATGTGAACACACCCTGGGCTTTCCCACCTCCACACCTTTTCTCATGCTCTTTACCTGCCTGGAAGGCCCCTCTTTTTCTTCCTTTTGGTTTATACAAATCTGTTATGGGAAGGTGTGTTAGTCCAGGTCCTCTGAGACAGCCAAGAAGGGATGAGACGGACAAGAGATTTACTGGGGAGCATGCCAGGGAGGAAAGTGAGGAGAGAGCCAGAAGAGGCTGGGAGAAAGGGAGGGAAGGAAGGATTGATTGATTGATTGATTGGTTGTAGACTACAGCGTGGTTCTAAGAAAGTTCAGCAAGGCTGACAGGAAGTCCTTAACCCTCCAGAGGAGTCCTGTGTCTCCCGGGAATGGGCCTGCCTCAGGATCCCTGCTGCCTCCGTGATGAACTGGCAGCAGCCCTGGGAAGGGTGGCCTCCCCTCAGCTGCGAGGATGAATCCATGGTCTGTCTGTCAATCAGGCTCCACACAGGAGGCCTGAGACGTGCATTTGCACAGCCGCTGAAGTGAGGAAATACAGCTGCTATCCAAAACAACAACCAAAAAAGCTGACTATACGTGCCTCTATAGGCACGGATCTTATCAGCGCAAGACTAAATTCTTCACTTAGAGAAGCTGGTCCAGGCTGAGCAGGGGAGGGGGAGGAGAGACCAAAGCTGCCAAGTTTCTCTTGTTTTTGTGTTGCTCAAGAGTGGGTGGCAAACTCTAGTCTCCAAGCAAGTCAGGTAAGTGAATGAAGTGAGCCCATCATATCAGGGAGGCGATAGGGAGGAGTGAGGACAGTGGAAAACTGGAGAGTGCTGCCCCATTCCAAAGGAAGCTGCCTCTACTCAGCTCGAGCCGACCATGGCCATGTAGAAATACACACACAGTGTGGCCAGGTCTTCTGATTCAAAAGAAGCCAGAAATAATGGCTCACGTTATTTTAAACACTGTATAAGGCAAGAACACACTTCTGCCACCTGATTTCAGCCCTGGAATCTAGTTGTGCCAAAGCCCAGTGGCTTAGCCA